TTTCGTAATTCTTTGGTGAAGTACACTACGGTCAGTGGTGTTCTTGGTACTTCTGGTATTTACCTTACTAACCTAAGTTTTACATCGATGAAAAAAAAAACAGAGCTTTGAAAAAAAAGACTAAATGAGAGTAAACGTGATGCAAGGTCCACCAAGAGAATCGAATGCGTTTTATTCGCTTTCGAGATGAAAGTCACCAGCTTAACAGGAAAGACTTAAATTGATTAATAAATTGTCGAATTCCCGTGAAAGAAAAATACTAGAACCTCTCTTAATTAGAAAATTGTCTAATTTCAACTGAAGTACGGGTCAGTGGGGCTTGGATGGACTCTTTGACCTTGACCTTCCATCTCTAACCTTCCCTTGACTCTTTGACCTTGACCTTCCATCTCTCTTCCTTGACTCTTGACCTTGACCTCCTCCCCCCCTCCAGGGCCCTGATTCAGCTTTTGTTCGGATTGTCTCTCTCTTCCACTATATAATCTTGTCAAAATTTATTTGTGTATCCATTTCGGTTATTTGTCAGTCTGATGAGGAATTTTTGAGGAGTTCGAAACGTCAATATCTAATTTTAATTCTTATAGTAGCAGTTTTTCTTTTCACATACACGCACGCACGCATAAACATATATGTATATGTAAATATATACATATGTATATATATATACATATATATATATATATATATATATATATATATATATATATATATATATATATATATACGCACACACGTGTGATTATATATATAGACAAATATATATACACACAGATATACATATAATCTCCCTATTTTTCTATATATATATCTGTCTCTATCTCCGTGTATCCATAAGAAACACTGTTCAAAATCCTATTCTTACATGTGACCATTAAACAGACGAGTGTGACCGCCTCGGAACGTGTTCTTAGCGGTTGTCTCCCCTCGCCAAGGTCAAGAAAGTGCATTTTTCTTTGAGTATATAAGACCTTTCGAACTGTTCTCAGGCTAGATTCAACCTCATTTTTAGCACTTCCCATGTTCATGCCCTGGTATTCACTCTTATTTAGTATAGTTTGCATTTCCCCTCGTTCCTTAGCCAGAAATAAACATAATAATTGACAAACAGCGTTCTGTCCTCTTTACGGTTGTTTTTATTGTGAGCCTCAACTGGTTTGTTCTTGAATTACTACGGACTCAAATGCCGAGTTTTGTTCGTCTGTGAGAGTCGAAATTTTAAGAGAGAATACTCATGTAACCTTTCAACTATTACTACTGCACATCATCACTGTGATGCCTAGATCATACTAACAAGCGTGCAAATAATACATCAATTGATTACTTACTCTAAACGGGAATGACAGACAGAAATATCAAACCTTGAGACGACAACCTCACACGCTGGAGAAGCTACACAGCAACTGCTCAGTCACGGGTTTTAAATTCTCCTTAAATGATAACGAAAGAGTTGCCATTCAGTACATGTGCGTTGTTTAGAAAATGGGTATGAATGCTTGTATGATTGTGTGCAAGTCGAATTTTTCTTTTATTACAAACTCTTCTTTAAGTTTTACATGAGAAAGTAGATGTCATGGAGGTTAGACGTTAATCCATCATTAATATGTCGAGAACAACTGACTGGTAGTCCAATTCTTTTTGTATATCGAGGCTAACTCTATTATACTTAGAATATCAGTATTTCAAAGTCCAGGATGTTGAATCGATTGCGGATAATAATTTTTTTTTACAGTTATCGGCCTGATATGACAATGTAATTATGCTATATTTAAAACATAATCAGTGACGGAAATAAAATTGAAAACTGAGGTACTGAGGCCGTACTCATAGAAGCTGTATTTATGTTGAGAGTAAATTACCTGTGGACGTTCATGGTGGTTATTTAACTCAAGGACCAAAATACCAACTCGCCTTCTGAAACTGTCACCCTAAAAAACATACACAGAAAAATCAGCCCCCTTTCCCCTTTCTGGCAGCCTCAGATCTGCTAACTAGGGCAGTTCAGCGAAGAGCATCAATGAGGAAAGGTGAATCAGTGTTAATATGATGTTCTCATTAGACGAAATCGGCGTGAAGATCTGTAATAGAGAAAAAAGGGAAGATTATATCTTAATATCAGCGCGAAGCAAAGCCATTTTTGTACATTCCGATTTGTATTTTCTCCGGTTAGATGTCGGCCGAAGGATCTATAGTCAATTTGTATTTTTACTATTGTGCATAGTGTTTAATATAATTCCATTTTGTCATTCATACACAAGGACGCTGTAAAAGAAGGGAAACAAGCCACAGAAACACTGGGTAGGTTAAAAAAAAAAAAATTGTTAGACGAAACACTGAATTTGCGTGACGTATAAATAACACGAGAAATGCCATCTCTATTAAAAAAAAAAACATTTGTCTTATGTAAGTTAATGTAATACAAATGAATATATCCAAATCCATATCCATATTAAATGCATATATGAGGATACGAATAAATTCAATTCATTATAAGTGTTTTCAGAACTAGTGTTAAATATAAGAGATGAATGTTGCCACATTAATCCGGAGTTTCAATAACCAAAAAGAATATCAAATCCACAAAAGACAGTACACAACCGAGACTGAACTTATAATGATGACAATTATTCTAAGCTGGCTCTACCAAATAGTGAAGGTTAGAATTATTTAATTCTACATATTTCAAAGAAACCCAATGTGTATCATCATTACAGCAGCGTTCTGGAAGTGTATGGCAGCTACTGTAGGCCCCGTCAGAAGCCAAAGGGTACGTAAGGCTTAGAACCTGTGCGAGTGTAACAGAATCGTAAAAATGAGTACTGATTGAGTAAAAAAACAGCGTGACTACCTTAGTTTTAGTGTGTCAGCCGCTATCAAATTGGCGACGAGAAATTGAATGAGGGTATAATAATGTTAGACACGTAATACTGACGTAGGACTCATGTGGCCAATCAGACGACGATAGACTCAACTGTGACATCACTCAGCCGCCTGCTCGTGAGACCCAACAGAAGCAGTCAGAGAGCAGAAACAAAATGGAATTATTGCCTGGCTTACTCTCCAATTTACCTTAAAAGTAACGGGATGAATGAAATAAGTTGAGGTAATTGATTTATGCATGCCATTTTTTTTCTATAATTTTTCCAACCGTTAAATCTAAGGAATAATCGTAATCTAGTGTTTGTACGAGTAATACCTTTAGCTTAGTTACCCCGTAAAGTTTTCTTCCATTACTCGGAATTCGAAGAGAACGATGTTAAGGGTAAACTAAATACACTACAAGGTCTGCATAGTGTGATGGCTGACACACTGATATAACCTTTTATCATAAGGATTGAGGTCTGTCCATGGGTTATAAAAGTTTTAATTTGTGCTCTTATTTTTTGTATTCCTGATTGTTAACAGTTGATGACTTTTTTGGGTAGGTTTTTTAGTGTTCCTGATTTTTTGTTGAAGCGAAAACCTATTGATTAATGATTCTTGATGAAATCAGAGCACAATTTTTATCCTGTAGGAGAGCTGTGCGAAAAAAATACTGCACGAAGAAACAGGAAGATGTATACAACCAGACGTTAACGAGTCACTGGGGAAGGAAAATATTCTCAGTGTTCCAAGAAAGAAGCAAGATAGAGGCTCGTGATGGGCGTGTGTTAGAATAATTACGCGTCTTAAGGGCACAGATGCATCAGTTGATCGAGTTACAGCCTCGTGTTTGTCGAACTGCAACGGAAGAAGACACGACAGAAGCCCGGCCAGCCGAAGCCACGACTAGTGAAGCAGTCTCATCCCAAACCAAGACCACGAGACAGTCCAAAGATCTCACTGGTGGCGAATGGCTTGCCCGGGCGGAAGCCGAGATGAAAAGGCGCAACATCACTCGAGGAAAAGACAAACGGAAAAAAGACCAGCTATGGTGTTTCCACAGATACGAGTTGAAGGAACCCCCAGCCTGCGCTTCAGAAGGATGATTCTTACCTGGTTTTCTGAACGGCAGAAACACTGGGACTGCATTCTGCAAGAGGAAAGAGATGTGGAGACAAGGCTGGACCGAGAAATCATAGAACCAAACAATCGTCGACTGGACTGCATGCTGAACCAAAATTGGCCATTCGCTGATACCAAATTAGTGATGAGAGCTCTATGCCACAACATCGTCGGGAAAACTGTTCCTAAATACCGGAACGGAGGAACGGGGAGTTCATTATTGCCTTAGACATGTTGAAGAATATTGAACTTAAGATGGAGGATAATCCTATTTTCGATCAGCAGTCCCAGGCTAACCTACGCGCCAGATCCAGTCATACAGACAAGGATGGGCGCTGCGAAGACAGATATCCAGTTCAAGTTTCAAAGAGCAAAGAAGTTCCATCGTCCAGAAAAACAAGACACACTGAAGGGAGAACTTTTAAAGGCTGAAGACGACCGCCTTTCCTTCAGCACCAGCGACAGAGAAGTAGCAGAAGAGAGAGAAAAGGGTCCCACGACAAGAAGAAGCAAGGCATTTAGAGTGTGGAAAGTTATAATGGACACTTTATTGTTATAACTCTATTCTAGGACGTTTAAGCATGGCTGTACAGCCTTTTAAAGTGATGTCCTCTCCTCTCAAATATAGGGAGTGAGAGAGAGGAGGGAGGGAGGGAGAGCGGAGAAAGAGAGGGAAATAGAGAGAGAGAGAGAGAGAGATGAAATGCACTCTGTGATCACCCGAATGCCCTCGAAGGAAGGAATTTTGAGAAATTTCTCGCTGAAAGAAATGGAGCAAAGCCGTTCAAGTAGGATGGCAATACGAAGGAGCAGATGATGGGAAAAACCAGGAGCTGGACATTGGACAAACAATGAAACCAAACCACAAAGACACGGATGGGACAAAACACAATACTTGACGAAACAGTGGAATTACTTTGCGCTCTTTAACACGAGAAGTACAATATCAATAAAAAGAACTCGTATGTCTCTTAGATATATAGTAATGACACATAGATATATCCATAGTCATGCCATATATAATGATAGTATATATTAACTCATAATGATGAATATTGGGCCAGAACGCTGTCACACTGATCTATGGTATCAGTGATCAAAAGCAATATTAAACACACAAAGAAGACCACAAAAGAGAATTGCCTGAAATAACCACAGATTAAATTACGGGCGAAAGTAAACAAAAAACGAGGATAACAGCGCCAGCGGGACCTGGCAATTACAGCGCATGCGTTGATTACCGGCGTGCTCCCACTAAACGCATTAGTCACGGTGGATTACTGGCCACGCACGCATGTCTAAGTTCTCACATTTAGCATTGAGATGACTATGATTATCCTCTTTATAACCATGTCCAATCCGTAATCAGCATTCATTAGCAGGATTGACGACACACGAAGAGAATAAAAGGTACATATTTTTAATCTTCTGCAAAGAGCCTCTGCCGAAGCACCTCTTCAACCAGAATATGCAAATGCCTGTTTTTGTAACAGATACATTCGTTTTAAATGGACAGTCTTATGTTGGGCTTGAGGGCGAGTGAAAATCCCCGCTGTTCAACTCACGGTATTCATTCATGGACACAGGGACACGGTCACTAAGGAATATGGGGAGACAGATGCATATTTGGTATATTATACGTTTATATCTATATCTACATCGGTCTGTGTATTTATTTCTCTCTCTCTCTCTCTGTTTGTTTGTGTCTGTCTGTCTGTCTGTCTCTCTCTCTCTCTCTCTCTCTCTCTCTCTCTCTCTCTCTCTCCCTCTCTCTCTCTCTCTCTCTCTCTCTCTCTCTCTCTCTCTCTCTCTCTCTCTCTCTCTCTCTCTCTCTCTCTCTCTCTCTCTCTCCCTCTCTCCCTCTCTCCCTCTCTCTCTCCACGCTCTCCTTCCCTCTCTCGCCACGATCTCCATTCACTCTCTCTCTCTCTCTCTCTCCCAGGAGAGAAAGAGATTCCTCAGTCAGCGAGAACCTCAACATGGAGTTGTCAGACTATGGCAGATGCCACCAGCACTGGGACATCTGATGCTGACGAATATAGCCTAATCATAAGTGACACAGAGTAACCATCATGGCACACAGTCTAGGCATCCTACAGTGGAATATATGTGGGTATAACGCAAAAAGCTCCTTTCCCCAATCAATAATGCGAGCAAAAAATTATCATTATTGTTATTATTATTATAGAAATAGTTATAATGATGAATATGACAGTAAAAAGTAGCATACATGCTCCAGGAGACATGATCAGACTGTTCGTTTCTCAGGCCATCATGTCTATGTCGCCAAGCTTGAGGTTTCATGATCCTAGTCGAAGCAACAACACCCTGCTCCTTAATAGCCGACGCCGCTGGACTGTGGAGAGAGTGTGGAATCTCTTGCTGTTGAGATCCGCCTAATTTTTTATATCTGTCGGCATACGTGTTGCTTACGAGAGAGGGAAATCAGATAGTTTAGATTGCAAAAGAAGTATTGGATCTTGGTTTGTATAAATCATGCACAGTTGTAAAGCAGATAGACTTTAAAACAATGAAAAAGACTGAATTCACAGAAAGATATTCAGAATATAGCACAATAAGAAAAGTAAAAAAAAATCAGTGAAAAGATAGATTATAATGTCCATTCTGAAGTGAAATTTGTTTTCTGAAGTTAAATGGAATTTTAAGAATATTTTCTTTATTGAAAAGCTTCACGACTTATTTAGCTATTTTATTTTGTCTTATTTATCTATCAAAGTCCAGCTTTACACTGTAGAACTTCATCCCATGTGACAACCGCAAAGAAAGCAATCCGTACATAGAAGTTGCAAGTTTACCTTCAAATATTGATTAAAGGAGACAGTTTAATATAAACAAATAATTTACCTGAAATGCCTGCAGTTACAACACTTTGAGGGGAAATTAAAATTGTTTCCCATGGCGGATGAACATATAAATGTAAACACAAGCCTTTTTCTAATAAGTTCGTGACAAAAGCATTGAAGAACACCGCAGAAGACTCCCAAGAACAGTATATTGAGATATGTCTGATTGGCACTAACTACACTCCGATTCACTAATCATTTTCTGTTACTTATCATTCAGAAATACATCAAGAATCTACACAAAATGGACTGCAATAACATTCTCCTCCTACTTGGCAACAGATGCCTAAAGAATATAGGCCTAAAGCTGTATTCTAACAACTATGTTTATTTACTTAGACCCTTTTAGATAAAAATGATGATAATAATGACAATAATGATAATAATAATAGTGTCCATTTATGATAAAAAAGGCTGGGAGGAATAAAATCCTAAAGAGAGAGAGAGAGAGAGAGAGAGAGAGAGAGAGAGAGAGAGAGAGAGAGAGAGAGAGAGAGAGAGAGAGAGAGAGAGAGAGAGAGAGAGAGAGAGAGAGAGAGAGAAGAGAGAAAGACAGAGAGAGAGAGAGAGAGAGAGGGGTGGGGGAGAGAGAAGAAGAGAGGGAGAAAGAGAGAGAGAGAAAATGAAAGAAAAGAGAGATATTTCTTGAAGAATGCCGTAGCTGTCTTGAAATGCCGTCTCGAGCACGTGACCGCGACGCCTAGACTCCCGGCGCCCTCGGTGGCTCTCCGCACAGACTGCAGGAGGAGCGGCAGTTGCGGCTCATGTATTCCGGGTTACGCCCACACTCCCCTCGAGCCGCCCATATGCTGCAGTCCTTGTGTTGGTCCTTACACGGCCCCGCCCACACGCCTGCGGGGGAGAGCTTCGGGTTATGAAGAGGGTGGGCGTGAGTGTAGATGTATGATGGTCGGATCGGGATGGGCGTGAGGACAGATTTGCCGAAAGATTATTACCTAACTGTGCTGTGCAATTGCTCTTCTGCGGATGTTATCATTAATCAAGGGGCATTGCAACAACGAGTAGTATTGATTCAAGTCCATCTACCGACAACTTTCGAATAAAAAAGTGAATCTAAAGACAAGATTTAGTGAATTTAAAGACATCTACAACAACAAATAAAATTACCGCCAAACTGCTACCTCTCCGCCCCCCCCCCCCCCTTCTTTTATCAGTGAAAAGCCACACGGGAAATTCTCGGTCCTCACCACAGGCGTCGCATGATCTGGGGCAGGAACTGGTCATGTAGGCTGGGTTCCGCTCGCACTCGCCTCGCCCCGCCCACCAAGCGCAGTGGATGTTCGTATCCGTGCATTCAGCCTTTTCATCTGGAGATCAGATTATAAGAAACGTCTATTTTATGATCTTGTTAATAGGAGTAAACACCTTTGGCAAAATGAATAATAGTATTTTGAAATTTCAGACGGAAAAGTCGTTAACTGTCTTGTCATATTCAAAATAGTTCAGAGTTCGAATCTCACCGCACAGGTTGCAAGACTTCCGACACGCGCGAGACATGAAGACGGGGCTGCTCACGCACACGCCGCTCGCCGCCCATTTGGGGCAGGCCGCGTGGGTGTCCTCGCAGGCGCCGGGCTTCTCCGTGGGCGCCGGCGTCGTTGCATCTTTATCGCAGCGGTACAAGATGTTCAGGCTCTTCACGTCGAGCTGTTGATAAAGAAATTCTGGAAAAATTGCTTTGGTTGTCTGCAACAAGTTTGACATTTACACAGCAGAATCCCCTTGATTTATTCAATAAATGTACTCTATCATTACTTCATTGCGCCGTTAACGCAACATTTTGGTATATTTGCTTGTTGATTTCTTCATCCGCGAGAACAGCTGGCACCCTCGGCCCTCGGCTTCATCACGCAAACACGCACAAGTTAACCGAGACCTTTTGGCTCCGCGACCAACCTGCGAGAAGCCGCGACGCTGACCTATCTCGACCCCGGCCACCCTGGGGATGATGGTGGGCAGCGAGGCGTCCACGGCGAAGGCCCGCGGTCCGTAGTGCATGACGGAGGCGTAGTCGTAGTCAAGCCCCAAGTCGCTCGTCAGACGGTTGGTTTTCTGATAAAGAGAAGAATAATGTCTTACCATGTGAAAGCTGATTATTATGTCGGCATAGGCTGGCTCTTATAACGGATAATAGTAATATTTAATTATCATCATCCGGTGCCTACATCACAGTGAAGGTTGGCAATAATGATTTTTCAAAGCTGTTTTATCATTATTCTTTTCACCTCTTCCAAAACTGGAAATCCCATTATTTAACATTATCTTCCCATTCCCTCTTTTGTCTCTCTCTTATTGTCTTTCCTTCCTCCTTGCCCCAAATTTCAAAATAACTTCCACTCACCTTCCCGAAGTTGTATTTCATATCGCCGATAATATTCTTCCAGTTGATGACGACGTGCTTATCGCGGTCGTAGCGGGACTGCTCGTGCCAGAAGCCAGCGGCGTGCATGAACTCGTGCACGATCACGCCGTGGTGCACGCAGCCCTGCCCGAGGGACACGACCTGCAGACCGCCGGCCCGACCCACCGCGCTCGAACACCTGCAGAAGGAGGGCGGTTAAGGTCGTGCAGGTTGAACTCTGAGAGGAAAGGGGACTGGGGTCTGAAAGTGAAGGCGATCGCTGCTTGCTTCCTTTGCTTGCTTGGCTGGGGTCTGCAGGCGGTGGTGTGCTTGTGTGTTGGGTGTGTTAGGCCCTTTAACTTTTACTAAAATGTAAGAGGACTGAAGATCCTTTTCAGATCAGGAAATAGGAATTAAGGTCGATGTGTGTGTGTGAGTGAGTGTGAGTGAGTGTGAGTGAGTGAGTGAGTGAGTGAGTGTGTGTGTGTGTGTGTGTGTGTGTGTGTGTGTGTGTGTGTGTGTGTGTGTGTGTGTGTGTGTGTGTGTGTGTGTGTGTGTGTGTGTGTGTGTGTGTGTGTGTGTGTGTGTGTGTGTGCAGTTTGATACTACAGACATTACTACAAAGGAAGTAAAAAAAAAAAACCTGCCAGTTGAAGTTATTGCAGCAACAACGGAAATGATGAAGCCACGGCGTTAATTACAGCGATGGCCCGCGATCGTGCGATGACCATATCGATAACCAAAACCAAAGGAAACGCACCCTTCGCCCTTGAGGATGTGCACGTAGTCCCTGTGCTGCGGCTGGCGAGGCACGAAGCGAAGGCACGTCTTGGTGTGGTACTCGCCCATCGCGCCCCCGATGGCCGCCCTCTCGGCGCGAGCTGAGGCGGTGCCAAGGAGGTCAGTATTCCAGCGTTGTGCATTGTTTTTCGTGTTATTACAAGATATTGCAATTTCGGGAAGTGAAAACCAAGGGGAAAGTCGATTTGACGGTGAGTTGGAGAGAAAGTGAGCATGCATTACTTGTCATAACCTATATATTGGGGGGGGGGGGGGCAAACGTAAACAAACATGGCGCGAAGGCTGTTCCTCTACCAGTCAATCAGTCTAATGCAAAACACATTTATTTCCTGAATGATTTTCTTATATCGAAACTACTGTTGATATTCAGCTGCTTACGGTATATGATATTCTCTTTTCCTGAGTGTAAGATTGAATAACATGGAGATACTCACAGAAGGAGGCTGAGATAACGTAGGGGATGAGAGCGCCTGGCCAACGAAGAGCTGGGTTCCTGGCGGCGCTTCCCTGGGCGTCCGGGGATCCCTAGAGGATTGAAATAAGGATTAGGATCAGACTCCGTTATTATCTTTGAACAGATATCCCTTCTGCGGGATGTCTCGTTTTTCTTTGGCTTTATGTGGAATTCTGAGCGTGTTTTACTTCGTCAAAATGCGTGTATGCTTTTAATGTTGCACTTTCACACCCCTCATGCCACGATTTGCGAGCTATGAAAGGAAGCGTGGGTTCGAGCAAGAATACGTACTCAAGAATTCATGAGTTTAGGAATTAATGAACGTTGATTTTTGGCTGTTCTTTGGCTTAGCGTCAATTAAATGCAACGAACACACTAGACAACGCGCAAGAGGACAAGGGACCCATTTCGTCAACTTATATTTCTTCTCAGATATTGAAACTTTGATCTTCATAAATCACATTTAGTCTGTAAGTCACATTCTAATACATCCAGATTATGTGCATGTGTGCGTGTGTGTCGTGCCGTGTCAGTAACGCTTCCGGTTTCATTGTTGCCAACTGCCACCGACAAAGAAGGAAATGCCTACCCCGACAGGAAGGTGATTCCAGCCAGGATTTTGAGCAATTCTTTGGCCTCTTTCTACGTCATCTAATAATTTGAGCTGTAGGCTTTACGCACGCAGGTCTTCGTTTATGGGTAATCTGTTATTGTACATTCTAACCTATTTTCATTCAGATACGCTAAGGTTACATTCCTATATATTTTGATTATTTACTAAGAGTTTTCGTCTGGCACTCATGTTCCTTTCGTGATGTATTTGTAATGGTTATCACTTGTTTTATTGATTCGGAAATATATGGGTTTCATCTGTGTGTGTGTGTGTGTGTGTGTGTGTGTGTGTGTGTGTGTGTGTGTGTGTGTGTGTGTGTGTATTTGTTGGACTGAGAAAGAAATACACAATGAGCATAAACACATAAAAGCAATGGCAAGGAAAAGATTCAGACAGAACGAACAGACATGGAACAGAGACACCAAGAGCAGCGACCCGAGGCATCGCCACCTCACCTGGATGATCTGAAGAAGGTGGTCCTCGGAGGGAAGCATGATGTCGCCCTGGAAGAACCCGGACCGAAGGCTTGGGTCGTCTTCCTCTGCTCCCCCTCCGTCACCCTCGCCCTCGCCCTCTCCGCCATCCTCCCCAGTCCCCTTAATCCTGAAGGCGAGCTCCTCCTTCGTCAGGGGCGGCCCGAGGATGTCGTTCTCGGGCTGTGTGGAGGATTAGGACACCTGCTCAGTCGGCGATTTCGCTTGTTATGTCAGTGTGTTCGGAGTATACGGAATACATGGGCGGTTAAAGGGGAAAAGATCAAGGAAAATGGGTAACAAGGCAAGTTCTGAGGCTTTGTCTAATATTAAGAAGTTACTTCACTGGGATCGTTTCTGAAATAAACAGAACAGAAAGCACTCACAGAGAGAGAGAGAGAGAGAGAGAGAGAGAGAGAGAGAGGAGAGAGAGAGAGAGAGAGAGAGAGAGAGAGAGAGAGAGAAAGAGAGAGAGAGAGAGAATCATATATACGTTTATCTGTTCGTTTGCCTATATCTATTTATGTATCTGCGTATTTACGCTTGCATATAGGTAGATAGGTAAAGATGTGTATATATTCAGACAGACAGATAGACAGAGCATGTTATTTTCTGACGGCTCCTTATTTTTCAAGAATCCCCCATCCACGTATTCAAGGTCTATATTAGTATTTAATTCGACGTTGCTCGTACTCACCTCATTCGGATCTCCAATGATAACCTTCGGAAGCCGAGACCGAGAAAGAAGCTGTGCACGGGAGAACTGGGCAAGGACCGTCACCGCGAAGGTCACGACGCTGGTCACCTTTAGAGTTTTCATCTAAGGTCACGGGAAAAAAAAGAAAGAGGTGATGGAAGCGAAGGCGTCTCGAGGCTTGGGCGAATAAGGTCCCTTCTTACGATTCGAATATTGAGAGTTGTTGAGCTCGAATTGTTCCGATTCGATCGCAGT